CCCCGTGCGCCGCGCTCTGCCGGGCCCGCCTCGGCAAAGGGCTTTGCACCGCTTCCTCTCGAGATAGCGCAGTGGCCTCGATACCTGTCAGTTAGAAAGCATGAAAGAAAGCTGAAGACATAAAAGACACACTGAGAAGAGTGCCTTGAGCTCTCTTAGGAGATAAAATGCTCTGAGGCGCTGTACAGCCTAGAAAACAGCCTAGAAAACAATAGTATCTCCTGCTGGCAAGCACCTGCGGAATGGTTTTTCGAATATGGATGGGAATTCTTAAAAGACACTTTACTGTGCAGAAGAGATAAGACCTATTATTAGGGATTATGGATGCCGTTTTTAATAGCAACTGTTGAGTCATAATTTGCTGGCTCCACAGAAATGAGCCAGCGGTGGTGGGGACACCTAGTTTTATAACTGAATCCGTTTTAGTAGACAAGGAAGCAAGTTACTCGCCTTGCAAGGTGGTGGAGCCTGGCTGGAAAAGTCCAGCCAGGAAGAGTGTTTGGTAAACCGTTTCCTGTTTCTAGGTTTGGGAAGCAGAGTACTGTACTTGTACTTCAGCTAAGGAAACCCCATCATGCGGCTCGTTGCTATGTGCTGGACCCTCTTTTGGCAGTGTAGCACAGTAATAATATGTACATGGTAGTGAGGTTCTTGGTAGGAGTGGGTGATACTTACATAATTTCTTCTGTTTGAGGTTTGTCCATGTAAGTTTCATTGTCTTCCAGGAGGACATGTAAGTTTCATTGTCTTCCAGGAGCAGGAGGTTAGTCTGAGTGACGCTTTGATGTCTCTTCCAAAGTGATTTCTCTAATTCAGCTTGGACTTAATGAAAACCTAGATAGTTAAAAGTATCTAATACCGATTGCTACTAGTGCAATTCCGACCTATAATTTATTTATATTAGTGGTGTAATTACACCTTCAGGCCTTAGAAGCTGGGAATATCCTTCTCAGCCTTCTGCTGATCTATGACTTTGGGTTGCTTTTGAATGCTAGTTTCTGTAAAAACATAAGAAAAAGATGTGATTCAAATTTCCAGTATAGAATTTCAATGAAATTATCTCTGTCTTAAACAAATAATTCTAAATTTTGGTGGAATGGCATATCTTGGTACTTAATAAATGAAGTTCTTCTTTCCTCATGCAGATATTTCCAGTTAACTTGGAAACATCTGTTTGAATAGGACAGTAACACACTTTCAGATGAGCCCAGATCTTGTTCTTGTCTTCTAGACATGAGATTACTTCATTATTTGTAGTTTTTGTAATTTCACTTACTCGTTCTGCTAGATGGTTGTAATTTAGCATAAAAGGGTGGAGAATAAGATGTTTTTGAGCTAAGCTGATGTGCTTTATGTAGAGCATCAGTTTATTTTTTTCTCTCTTTTTTTTTCTGTTTCTGGTCCTTGAATGTAATTTTATACCAGTGTAGCTATTGCACTGAAAAAGCCCTTCTCAGTAACACGTGAATGAGATACTACCTGGTTAGATTTCCTGAATGAGGTTGTAACTAGAACACCAGCAATTGCAGCTGCCTCTCATAATGGCTTGGTTTTTCAGCTTTGTGCTGCTGTATGCTGACACAAGATTTGGGAAAGTTCAGTATGACTTGACCGGCTAAAATCACTTGGTGGTCAAAAGGGTCAGTATTTCTTATTGAATTATCTCTCTAGGGCCTTACTTCTATACTTCTCTCAGTTTAGACAGAAGTCAAATCTAGCAGAATCTCAGAAAAGTCACCATTTTTATGAAACTTTTATCCTGGGGAAGTGGAAAATTATTTTTAGCTTGCATCAGTCACATGATGAGGTTCACAGTACTTAGGAGGAATATGCTGTTAAAGGAAGGTAGCTTAGTATCCTAGTGTGACTGCCAGAACTCTGGTATCGTCCAGCTGAGACTGTCACAGTTCTCCTGGAAGCAATGGATTTTGAGGATCCCAATTCTCACTCCACATCTTGTTATTTCTGTAACCGAAGCTTACCACTGCATTCAAATACATTCAGTTTAAATTGGATTTGTGAAACACACTTGATAGATGGTTGGTTGTTAAATTTTATAGATCCATGTGCTAAGGTGATCACCTGCTCTGGAAATGAGGGGCTGAAAATGAAAGAGTAAGGAGGAGAGGATAGTCCTCTGAAAGTGGAATGTGTTAAATAGAGTGGTAAGGTAGAACTAGAGCTTAAAACAAAAAAAAAATTCTGGAAAACTTTCACTTCCTGTGTATAAAAAAAAGAATAATTGTAATTGCAGTAGTTTAGAGTGAACTGTTTACGTGTATGTATATTGCTTCTAAATATTTAAAACTTTTGCTTTTTAGAACGAATATGCATGAACGAGTGAACAGAACAGAGAGGCAGTTTAAGTCTCTCCCAGCTAACCAACAGAGTCTTCTTCCTCAATTTCTCCCTCACCTTGACAAGATCCGGAAGTGCATTGATCATAATCAAGAAATACTACAAACCATTGTGAAGGACTGTGTTCATATGTTTGAAAATAAGGAATATGGAGAAGATGTATGTTAAAATGGACTTTTTTCTTGCTCCAAAAGTAGTTGCTTTGGGATTGCTTATATGCTTTGGAGTTTTCTACATTTGTTACTAGTATCTCAAACCTACAACTTTCTTTTCTTTTGCCTTTTTTATTGATTCTTGTTTGCTCACACTTTTCTCGCTCTTTGTCTTTCACATTTTGCAGAGCTGATGCTTAATGAAGCTGTTTGTTGTTAGTTCTGTTAGTTACACTTATGAAAACTGTGAATCTGGCAAATCATTGTTTTTACTCCAGAGTTCTAGCTTTACCCTGGTTACATTTTAAAGTTATTTTTTCTCTTAACTATATAGAATATAAGTAATATTGTCTGTCTTTATATAGGTTCTTATATATCTTCAGATAATACATAATTATAAATTGGTTGCAATTCTAGATTGTAAGTATTTTAATGTTGTTATTTGTATACACTTTTTTTACTACTTGACCTACTTTCTATCAAAAAAAATTACCCCAAGACTTTAAGGACTGACAGAGATGGAAACTGAAATCCTCCCTTTTATACAGGCAAGATACAGTAATGGGCAGCTCCAATGTAAGCTTCTCAGCTTTGCCTTACAGTATCTAAAGGGATCCTTTTTTCAGGGTATGCAGTTCAGCCTCTGCAGTGGCTAAGCCCTGATCCTTTCCTGAATAGGGACTACCAATTGTGCTTTGCTGTGTATTGTTTGTTTGATATGGAAACTGGACTTTTGAATGCCAGAGAGAGGCCAGATATTAAGGTGGATTTAAGCCCAGGTCTCAGGAGTGACAGGGAAGTGCTTTGTCAGCTGATACTTACTGCAGTTCTTGCAGCATGGCCTTCTTTTTCTTCATAATTTGCTTTCCCCCCTGCAAGACTCAAGATACTTGGTATATTTTCCACTGACTTTTTTTTTCTCTCCACTTTATTCAGGGAAGTGGGAAGATTACACCAGCTTCAACATTTGACATGGATAAATTAAAGTCCACATTGAAGCAATTTGTGAGAGACTGGAGTGAAGAGGGAAAGTTGGAGCGGGATTCTTGCTACCAGCCAATTATTAGTGAAATTATAAAGAACTTTCCAAAAGAAAGATGGTAATAGTGTCTTAAAGCTTATATTTATGTGGACTTACACTGTTGCACAAATCTAAAACAGTTTATGGAGTAATGAAAAGCTTTGTTTCGAAAGTAGAGAATTTTTTATGAACTCAAAAATGAACTTTCTTTATTTTTCAATCAAGAAAGTTTTTTTATTTCTAATACAAGATGTTGGAAAAGAGTATAATCATAAACTTCACAAAGTAATACCAGGTAAACCAGTAATAATTTTTTGTTGTTGTTCTGCAGCTGGGTGTAACAATATATGTAAATCTTTCAAGTAAGAGACTTCAGTAAGTTAGTTCAGTTTTGCTTAGTGAGGGAAGGTTTGCAGGTTTGCAGATTCTCACAGTGTGTCTGCTGCAAATGAGAGGAAGGACTCTTGACAGCAGGAAGTAAGACTTTTGCTCTTCATAGTGGAAAGAAGGAGGAAGAATTAACCTTTAGTGCAGTTGCACTTAATTGCAAGAGTTTACTTTGAAAAGAGTAAATTCTAACCTTAGTTTCAGACAGCTGTTCTAAGACAATTCTTAAAGCTTAGTTGCACATGTGAGGGTCATTTTGTAAGTATTGGCTTGTTAGCAGTGCCAAAATAGTCACTGATGCGGGGGTTTTAGGTCATTTAAGTGGAAGCATATTAGTAAAGCCTCAAAAGGTTATAGTATTGTAAGAATTCCATGTTTATTGGTTCTGTCCATTTATCAACCCAGTCATCTTAAAGTGCATTTTAGTTTAAACTTAGTAGTCTTTTACAGTTGGAAAATTTGAGAATTTTTATTCATAAGTGTAACAGGCCACTACTTAAGTTTGATATAACAGGTCATTATTGTGTTTTTTCTCTCTCAGCAATTATTAATAATGCTCTTGTGTGAATTTAAAAAGTCTCTTCCACTGGCCATTGTTTAGTTTCATTGGTAAAGACAGTTTGTGGTGGGAGAGCATGGGATGTAGATGGTTTCTGTTTTGCCTTGAACTGACTTACCTAAAGATACATACACCTTTTAGAATGTTTCATCTGCAAGTGAATTTTCTGCAGTATTTCTAGTGCTAATAGTGCCCTACATAAGATAAAAAAAAGAATTAAATACTGCAGGTATACTTCTGACATGTAGATGTGTAGGAAAACTCATGGTTAGTTTTCCAAGAGGTCATTCTAATCTCCAAAGTAGCAATGCAGCTTTTTCTCTTGTCTGCTATCTGTTAATGTATTTCAGTTGTGGCAGAGGTAGCTTATGTCAAATCTTAAGAGATTCATGACTGAGGCTGGAAAATCTTGACTTTTACGTTTGTCACCAATGAATTCTATTTCAAAACCTTCAGTGATATTAGGAAGCAACATGTGGTAACAGATGGGGTGAATCCGAAGTTGACAGCTTTGTGCTTAACTTTACAGGGAATTCTTGTGGTTGTTGGACAAAACTAATGTAATTGCTCATTGTGGTAGCTCTGAAGTACCATTTGAGTTTTATTTTGTCTCTGCTGAAATCTCAATACATCACTGTACGGATCAAAGATCTCTGCTACAAGCTTGAGTTTGTCAAACAGCATTTTTTAATTTCTAAAATGTGTATTACTTAAGTTATCATTGTGGAGGTGTTGTAGCACTTAGATAAAACCCTTTCTCAGTTCACATATTGTTAGCTACTGTGTTAGCTTGCTCATTTTTCGTGGTGATGGAAGCTCTCGTGGTTAGGTGTACTTTACTTTTTGAGGTAACAAGCAGAGTCATGTACTATCAAGCTTAACTGGCAGTTCCTTTTCATCCTGGTGCAAGAAATAACTTCCCTGGCAGGGTAGCTAGCTGCTAAGTCTGGTTTTTTTATACAAATTTTATACAAACTCTTCACTCTCCAGTGACAGCACCTTAGGGAATGGCATGCAGCTGAGTCACGGGAGGTTTAGGTTAAATATCAGGAAAAAATTCTTCACCCAGAGGGTGGTTGAGCGCTGGAACAGGCTCTTCAGGGAGGTGGTTACAGCACTGTCCTGTCTGAGTTCTGGAAGTGTTTGGACAATATTTTTAGGCACATGGTATGACTCTTGGGAGTGTCCTGCAGAGGGCCAGAAGTTGGACTCTTACCCTGACAGATCTGTTCTAGCTCGGCATAGTCTGTGGTTCAGTGATCTTGGAGTGGACATGTTTTTTGATTTTGAAGAGATCAATGGGGCCTGAACTGCGCACAGTGAGTTACTCTGTCTGTTGTTTATAGTGGGAGAGGACTGACCATGGACTCTAATGTGTAAATGAACCTCAGAATGCAGCTTTGTATTGCTTTAGAGTAGCACAGAGCACTAAAGTCTCCTGAAAGAATGAAATGAAAGTGCAAGAGAAAAACTGTTCTGAGTGAAAAAAAATACATTTTTCTAAATGTACTTTGTGTTGAAAATGATAAATAATTTTAAACTGTCAGTGCCGGTCACCTTTTACTTTATAAAAGGAATTGCAGTACTCATCAAATTTGTAATACTCAATGGAATGGTACATTCAGTTTCTAGTTAACGTAATTTGTTGATCTTATTAATTCCATGCATTGGAATAATGTGGAAATGGAGTTTAAATTTTTGAAACTACTGAAGTATGTTTCATTCCGTGCTTGCACACCTTATAGCATTGCAGTTTGCAAAGTTGATGTGTATGGGTTCAGTTGGTATGTAAATAGCAGGAAAAGCAGGGAAGTGTTGTATATGCTTGCTCTTTGGGAGGTAGAAGTAGTGCAAGCACTGGTTGAAAGCAGCTGTAAAGCAGAATAGTTATTTAGTAGGTGCTACTTATCATGTGTTATGTGTTTCAGTCTAGTCTTCTGATAGGCTGTCATCTAAAGGTAAATTAAATGGCAAAAGCTGTTCCTGCCTCTTTCTGCTTAGCACCTTAACACAGAATCTGTAAGCAGAGTCAACAAAGCAGTTTTTAGTAAATCCCATGAGATCAGGTCTTCCTGAACAACTATAGATTTCTTGCATTATTCATGTTGGAATATATGTTTCAGTTCGAAGGAGCTATGTACTATTTAAGTTTCTTGGATTAGAATGAACGTACTTGCTTTAGGAGAAAACAGATAAATTTTTTATTTCTTTATCTGTGTATTTTTTGAAGCATTTTTTAGGGAAGTATTAAGTTGAAAATCTAAATAAGCATACTCATAATTTTTTTTTGCTTCCCTTTTTATCATCTTGGTTTCCTTTCACTTCTGGTGTTGCTCTTCCTGCTTAGGTGAAACAATGTAAAGATTATCAGCTTCTTGTCCGAAAGAAATCTATGAAATAATTAACTTTTTTGCTAATTATCATTCCATGGCCAAAACCAAAGTACTTAGGTATTTCTTCCAGTTTTCTCATAAACTACGCCTCTAGAATGAACTATAACTTGAAATTCATCTGTGTCATGCTGTCCAACTATCAAATGTATTTGCCAAGATGCTGACAGAGCAACCCAAAAAAATTGTCAGAGCTTAGTTTCCTTTTGCTATGAAAAACAACTTACTAGTCCTGAGCCTGAGCTTGACTATACTTCTTGAATGTGCTCAGTCACATTTATAGTGGAATTGAAATTACTGCTTTATTTGAATTTTATTTGACTTTATATGAAATATATTTGTCCTTGCAGGTCTTTGTACGTAGCCTAAACTTTGCTTTACACATTGGATTTAAGAGCAAATATATTGTCAGTGTTACTGCATCACTCAGTGCTTTGCAGGTCTTTAAATGAAAGTATATAAAACTCAGCCGCCCAGTTCAGAGAATTGCTCTTCAAATGATTGTGCTGTTTAGCACTTGTCTTTAAAAACAAAATCATCGACAATATGGTTGAAGTAAAATAACAAAATATGGAATACTGAGAATTGGATCTGTTTATTTAAACTTACAGACCTCATAAACACTAGGAAAGGAGTCCCACACACAGTATGTTCCTGTGCTGGTATTTCCACTGATCAGAAGCCCATCTCAGTGTGATATATGTATTTATTACTTCATTTGATAAATTGAACTGCTCTATCTAGTTTATGGAGATGAGGAGTGTGTTTGTTCAGGCACTCTTTTTTTTTTTTTTTTTTTTTTTTTTTTTTTTGCTAAGCATGTTTACCCCTTCAGCACCATTACTTTTTTTTTTTTTTCACAACACACTAGACATGAAATAAGCCTCCATTTTTATAATGTTTGCTTTCCCTCTTTTAAAAAGGATACCTTTAAAAAAGTTAAAATCTTCATTAATATCAATGGTCTTCTAAAAGCTGAAAATATATCACACTGAAACATGCAGTGTGAAAAGGGCACAAAAGATTTGTTTCTGGTATTTCTCCATTGTTTTTTTTAAAGAGGCTTCTGGAGTTTCAGTAGTTGAGCTGAATAGTGCTGTGCAGCCCTCTCTGCTGCTTGGCCAGCACCTTTCCCCGCACCTGTCAGATTAATAGGCTGGTGCTGCTTCCCTGTTGGCCCACAGGTATTCAGTGCGTACGTGTTGGGTGCTCGTTTATGTTCCTAACTGCTGGTAGATGTGTGGCACGGAAATCCTGTCCTTGCTGGCTGGTTGGAGGGTAGTTTTCCTTGTGGATCACTTCGGGTTATTATGTTAGCATAGCACAGTTGTTGGGGTTTTTTTTAGTTAACTTTGTAACGGCTGTAATCACGTAACAACCAGAGAAAGGCCCCTTTTCTAGCCTCTTAAAGGACTGTAGCCATTAAAAAAGCAGTTTCTGTGCAGTTAAAGATTTTTAGCTATTATAAGGATTCAGAATTAAATGTAATTCATTAACAAGTTTGTCGCAAACAGTTCAAGAGTTGGACAAGTTTTTTCTAATAGGGGGACACTATCAACAGTAAGTTAGCCACATACATAATTTATCAGTCTCCAAATTCAGAAATATGCTCTTGGAACTGTCAATGTTAGTGCACTAAGATTTACTTATATTGTATTTTATTAGATGAGCTCTGCTGCTGAAATGAAGTTGGTGGCAGGAGCATTCTCCAGTAACTGATAGAAATTAAACTCTGGAAATTTGTTAGCAATTTAGTCCCTTAATAAAGGTGCAAATGAAGGTGCAGTTAAGTCTGCACTCAAAAAAGAGAATAGAAAACTATTTTCTAAGAGAGAATGGAACATTTGTTTAAAAGTACAGGAACTTTATATTGTTTGTATATTGTGAATGAAAGGATAAAGACAACTACAGGCAATTTAAAATCAACTCGACTGATAAAGATTTTTTTCTTGTTTCAGAGTGCATAAAGGTGCAGATTTCCAAATGTGAATGTACCTAAATATCAGTTAGCTACCAGGTTGCTTTAAGAAAAGACTTCTAGTCAATGTTTTGTAATCTTGAAAGTAGTTTATGGCTTATCATCCCATTTATCACAGAAGTGTCCACATGGGGGTGCTAAAATCTGTGTAGAGCTAGTCCAGGTATTTCATAAAGTGAAATTGCAAGGAGAAGTAGATTAGGTTAGAAAATCCATTTGGAATAATGGTGTACCATTATGAATAAGAAAAGCTGTAAGATAGATGCTTTTCTGGCTTCTACCAGAACATACATTTTCTTTTTCCTTCTTGTGGTTCCCTATTTTCAAAAATTTCATACTGAGCATGCAGTTTTCTCCTGAAGTATTTTTTTTCAGTAGGACTTTGTGCTAGCTTCTGGTTTGCCCCGTAGAAGAGAGGTAATGAGAACCCTTGCTTCACAGGAGTGCTCTTAAGTAATAACCAAGTCTTGATTTCCAGCTTCTTGATAAGTCAGAAAAAGAGCCTGAATGTATAATGGAATGGAAATGAATGGGATGTTTTTCCATTTCAGAGGCTTCACTAATTAGATGATGAAATCAAAACTCAGAAGGCACTGTTAAAACTGCTTTGCTAGATTGTGTGGCCTTTAGAAAAGAGTAATACTTCCGGTTTTGGGTAATAGTGTTTAGAAATGTACAGCTTTTAGGATTTATGTAACTCCTTTAATCATCTTCATGCTTGTGCAGCATCCTTACTCTTTTGAACCCTTCTTGGCATTCTGAATTTTGAAGTAGTCAAAGGCTTTGTGTTTTGGTGCCTCTTATCCTTTGGAGCTGCTGGTTCTGTCCTCCTTCGTGTACTTGCTTATACATTGGTAGATGTTATTTTTTGTCTCTGAAGGTTATATGCAAAACAGTGTCAGAAGGTATATGAATATTCATACCTCAGTGTACGAAATTGTGAACTCTTGAAGTCATGTTTATGACTGGAGACTGAAAAATTATTTCCTTTAAGATTAAGTATTTTCAGTTTTGCATGTGAGTGGTTTCTGTTTTGTGAGTGAAGGTTTGTGGTGGAGGTGTGCCAGAATATGTTGTGGTGGAGGTGTGCCAGAATATGTACGTATTTCCCTCTCTGCCTCCAAGAGAAGTAACTCCTTTTTGAGATTCTTAGTTCTGTTTGTTAGTTGCTCCACTTAGGAGGGATTTTAAGTATTTCAATGAAAACACTGCTGGATGTTTTCTGGTTGTCTTCAACTTGATGCCTATTTATGGCTAAGTGGTTAGAGAGCTGCAATGTACTTTGATTTAGGAAATATGTCACTTACAGTACTTCAGGAAAACCAGTGAGCAGCATATGCAGAACTCACCATTGCTGGAACAGTCACTACTTTAAGGTTTTTACATTCTGAATGGTTCATCAGATTTTATGTTTTTATTTCTTATGTCAAAATACTTGGGATTTTTTTTTTATTACAAGGTAACAAAAATATGTCTAGAATGTTTTCTGATTATCAGTGGGGCTTAAAGAAAAATACATTGTGCTAAGTGATGATGTTCTTCAGTTCACTTGAGAAATTCCTGGCTGGGTAACTGTAGAACTTTTAAGGAAAACAAATTGAATCCAGCATTTATGCTCTATTCTGAATGAGGGTTGTATATGTTCTTGTGAGTAATTTCTGTAAATTTTGACTGTACAATTAACCAATCTGATCAGAGCAGGCTCGGTTTCATTTAAAAGTGAGTCATACAGGAAGCATAATATATTATCTAAGTACATGGTGGGAAAAATGTTTGGCTGGACCTTTAAGTTGTGTTAAAGGGTATCAGATAAAGACTTAACTATTATTTTTGTTCTGTTGCAGGGATTTCTCCAAAGTTAATATCCTGGTACCTGGTGCTGGGCTAGGTAGATTGGCGTGGGAAATAGCTATGCTCGGTTATGCTTGCCAAGGAAATGAATGGAGCCTCTTTATGCTCTTTTCTTCTAACTTTGTACTCAACAGGTATATAGCTTATGTTTTACTTGCTGAATAAAACCTAGAGAAGCAAAATTATAAATGAGAGAAATCTGAATATATATGTCTCAAAAGAATAGATTTATAAGTTGTACTACAAGGCACACATACTCACTTTTTAGAATGCTTTAAGGAAAAAAGTCTTAGGGATAAATGGGGAAGGAAGTATTATATATGAGTCATTAAAATTACAGGAAGTATAGCTTTCAGGTTGTGAGATTTAAAATCTAAATTGTACAACAGATTTTCTGCAAAATTTTGATTAGGTTTTATGATTTATTTCACATCTGTTTCTGTGAAATGGACACCTATCTTACTATTACTGAATATGGGCTAGTAAATATGTCCATGTTATGTAGTGGTGTGATTATAAACAGAGGATACCTGTTTAAAAAAAAAAAGCATCACCTTCCATACTAAAATTTTAGGCACTGTTTTGACAAGAAAAAGAATAATTGAAGCATGCTGAGCAAGACGTTAAGAGTTAATAGTTCCACAGTTATGCTCAGATTAATAAATTTAAATGTAGTAAATTTCACGTTACAGGTTTTAATTAAAATGTCATTTCTGTATTTGGTGTTCTGCGACTTGCATTGGAGTTACTGTTTTCTAAATGACTTTGTTAGGGAAGAAAAAAGATAGTACATGCAGCTGTTCCCTTAAGAAACAGAGTGGGAAAGCTATAGGTGGGCAAGTATGGAAAGAGGTCTGGAGGGTGTTTGGGGTGGGGGGGAGGAGGGGGGCAGTTAGTCCAAGTTCACAAATGCAGAATTTGACACTTCATTCATCAGGTCTGAAATTATGCACCTGTGCTGAAAATACCTAAACTATTGGCTTTTTTTCTGTATTACCATATTGTTTTGGAGACTGTTTTATAGACTGATTATCCACAGTGCAGTGTGATGCTCTTGCATCTCACACAGCTTACTGTTCAAAAACAAGGGGAAAACACTGCATGGTGACTGCTGAGTATCTGCATATGGCAGAAGTGCTTTGTGTGATGATAATAGATGTTTACAGGAGGTTCATTTGTTCTTTTTTTCTTGCATTATTCTCAAGTGACTAATTTGGTGGTGTAATTGTATATTACAATTGATGTGACTGATGCCTTTGAGCTATTAAAAGAAAATCATTATTCCTCTCATGCTTTGGAATTTCAAAGCAGCATAAAAGCTTTAATTTCCCATCTTTTGGAGCACTGGTCAGCTGTTGCAGAGGTTAGTTGACTTCAGCCCTGCCCTCTGATGACATGCTTCCGTGAATAAAGAGTCTTTGCCTACATGTGAAATTATCCTAAAGAATCATGCTTCACTAACGGTAGTAATTTTAGCATATAATGCTCATATAGTGTTTCCTATGTAGGAATGTAGTGTTTATGCAGAATATTTAGCAAAGAGGTGTATATACATTAAATTTGCTAATAATATGAGATTTTGGACAGGATTATTGAGTGTTGTGCAACTGCTGTAGTCTTTATCTTGACTGAGCAGCAGTCAATTTAGTTGAAGTCCAAGCGTCCCTTTCTGGCAGATGTAATTGTGGGCTTGATGTAACCTTCTGTTACGAAGGTTGTATGGACTTGAAGATTTTCAATTTAGTCTGAAGTAGCTGTTCATGGTTAGCCTTCTGAAATGCACATTTGCTTTTCTGAAACTGGAAGTAACAGCAGTCATCCATATAAGCTGAAGATAATATCTAAAGAAGAGTGGTCAGAAAAAAAAAAGAATTTGCCAGTGAGTTTTTAACTGTAGTCTTAATTTAATTTATACTTATTTTTAGTTTATAAAAGCATGAGGATTTTGCTCATCTGTACTTACAGTTTTACAGCTTTACCTTCTTTTTCTGACAGTGCTTTATATTTAGGAAGACAAAGTACTGTTTTTAATGTCAAGCATTGCTACAGTAGCCTCCTAGATGTGGTACATTGGCTTAATACTTCTGTGTGCAAAATGATATTTGCTGATTTTCACACATTTTGAAAAACCTTTCATATCTCTGAAATAGTGAAGTTTTGTTACAGTGGATAAAGCTGCATGGTATGGTATGTAGAGTGTGTGTCACAGTGTAACTGTGGTCACTATAAATATCTGAAATTATTTAGAGTTTGTTATTCTGTTGAGGAAACTCTACTTTAAGAATAAAGTGACCCTAGACTAGTTAATCTGCAGTGGTTCCAAGGCTGCTTCAGTCATTATATGGGACATTTTGCTTTCTCTTGTGTGCCTAAGGTTATTACATGATGTGTTTTTCTTCTTTACTTTTTGGAAAGAATATAATTTTAGATTAATCTTGACACTTGGAGGAGACTACTAGTTGTGTTTGTTGCTTGTCTATTAATGCCTTAGGATGAAAACAGTTACATTTTTATGTGTATACCAGTGGTGAGTAGTGAGATTTGACCTACCTATTTTTTTCAAAAACTGTCTTTTAAGCTGAATGTTGAACAGTGAATACCGCACCCCTATAGAAAATAATGAAGTGTGCCACACTTAAATACGTTGCTTATAATAGAATGTGTATTACACATATTTTGTTGTAATAATGGAGTTTCCAAGGACTGGAGTACTTGATTTCAAAGTAAAAATTGTTGAAACTGGAAATGGAAGTTTTCAAACTTGTACATGAAAGAAATTGCTATTTTCTATTATATTGGAACTGTTTCAAAGTCTATGTGATCAATGAACTCTTTCTAATCTTTTCCTTTAATTGCTGTTGTAGTGGTTAGGGGGCTTTTTTGTTGTTTCATTTTGGGTTTGCTTTTTTTAACCAATTACATATGTCTGGTATTTATACATGAAGAAAGTCGATGAACACTATATACTGCTGCTCAAGTTTTAGTTTTTAACTGATAAAATGAAACAGAGATATGAAATGGAGAAGGTAAAAAATATTATTTCAAACACTGTATCACAAATATATTCTAATCACCAGCCAAAAGAGTGCACTTTCTATAACCCAGTAGATTGCTTGCAGTTTATGAAATGCTTGATGATATGTGTTTTGTGGGACAGATATGTCCTCTGTTGTCCTTGAAAGAAAATGTTTTTTTCATTTTTTAGTTACAAACTAATTTACAGGATGGTGGGAAAAGCTTCTTGTTAAACTTAAATGCTGTGTTTTATAACTTTTTAAAATACAAATTGTTAGTCATGTCAATACAGAAACTCTGTTTTACAAAGACATCTTCAGTTGGCATGATTGCAAAGATCCGGGTGTTACAAACTTAAAATGACCATTACTGTGCTAATGCAAAATGCTGCTTATTTATTTTTTTAATTCTTAAAGCATCTTTTCAGTCAGCATGTGAAAAGTGCTTTTGTTTAGTAGTGCTTCAAAACTTCCTATAATTGTGGTTCAGAAAAGTCCAGAATGATAACAAACATTTAAAAAAAAATCATGGAACTATTTTTGCTTTTTGTTTGTTTGTTTGTTGGTTTTGGTTTTTGGGGTTTTTTTTTCTTTTTTTTAATAGGAAGAGAGATGATCCAGCAAGTCTCAGCTTTGTGGAATATGGCAGATTGCAAACTTCATTAATCTTACAAAATAAGCATATGTGTTTTGTTCGCAGCAGAGAAATAAGTTGAAGAAAATGACAAGAAGTCATAAAAGAAAATTCTAAAACTGGAAAAGGCAATTCCTTTGTAGTAGTGATTTTGTCAGATTAAAATTAGGTTTTTTGATCACTTCGTTATCATGGGTGATCTAAAGTGTTGTGAACTAGATTAAATTTTCTGGGAAATATGGAGCTGTTACAAGAACTTTGACTCTTATATTTCTAGATTCTAGATAAACAAATAGTTGAAACAAATTTTGCTGATTTTCATATTTTGCAGATGCTCTGAAATTAATTCATGTAAGCTTTATCCCTGGATTCATCAATTTAGCAATAACAGAAGATCTGCTGATCAGATACGACCAATTTATTTCCCAGATGTTGATCCTCACAGTCTTCCTTCTGGTTCAAACTTCTCTATGACAGCAGGGGATTTTCAGGAAATTTATTCTGAGTGCAGTGAGTAAATGCAAACTTCTAGGCTATGCATGTAACTGTAGGGACTTCCAGAGTATTTGGGACAGGTTATGAAGAGAATCAAAGTGTATCTACCACTATTAAGTATAAAGAACTAGCTGTAGCAAGATTCTCATACTCAGAATATTTCTCCAGCTGTATCAATAGATCTATTTCTTACTCCAGATCAGCTTTCATTCCTACTTATAGCAAATGTGGACACCTCCTTATCTAACAGAACTTGCAGGAGCCTTTCCCACAGCTGCTTAATTTTCTGAAGATTCTGTCTTTAACAGTAGAACATCCAAGACTGGCATAAATTAAGACTTCTAGTACTTTTTAGTCACAGGACTTTAAACTTCTGCTAATTCAAGAATACCTGTTTAAGGAAAACAAAGATTCTCATGCTTTAAAAGATAGGCTTAAAAAATTCTGCCTGTTGAATTGACTAGTTAAAAACAGCTGGCGAGATGTTCAAATACCGAGTAAATTGTTTCAAAGCTAAGTAACTTCTGAAAGTACACTTTAGTGCAGATTTGTATTGTTCTAGATACTAACTAGGGAGGCCTGAAATGATTAGGGATTTTTGCAGTTGTATTTTTAACAGCTGTCATAATTAAATTTATAGGACAGGTGAGTAATAGCACACTTGGGGCTTCATTTGTGTATAATTTTACAGAATACAATATATAAATTATGTATGAACAGTTTTGTTAAGTGCATAAGTAGTAAGTATATGTAATATTGTAGTCTGTGTATGTGTACATATACACGTGAATACAGGCCAAATAAACTCGAAGTTAACAGTTTTTAATGTAAACCAAAATACTTTGTTAACTTGCCTGTAAAACAGCTGCTATTAGTTGATAGTGATTCTGAGGGTATCAACAAATACCAGGGTTAAATTATGAACTTGTATAAGATTAAAAGCATTTAAACTAATCTCTGTATACTTTGCTCTTTTCATGCAGATACATGGGACTGCGTAGCAACTTGCTTTTTCATAGATACAGCACATAATGTTATTGATTATATTGATACTATATGGAAAATACTAAAGCCTGGAGGAATATGGATAAATGTAGGTAAGTGTGACCAGCTAAGTCTTTTTGACTTATTTTTGATCATATACTTGAGAAGTGTGTGCAAATAATTGTCTATGAGCAAACTGTATAGCTAGAAAAATACAGGGCTTGGAAATGATCTCAGAAGTTATCAAAATATGGTCTGATGTTTGCTAGTTACAATCAAGTCAACACTCTGATTTTTAAATAGGCAAGTTAATCTTGCCAGTGGCATGTTTTACATTCATTCATCAGGCATTTGTTTTTTGACAAATATTGTATTCTATGGCAATCTTTGTTATTTTTCTAAGAAGATGTAACTTTAAAATACATCCTTGCTTTTTTGTATTTTTTTCCAATGTCTATTTGGTACTCTGCTTTGAAGCAGAAGTTTTGGGAATGCGATGTGATTGGAGTCTTCCATGGTGAAAGAATGTTAGACAAGACACAGGCATTAAACATTATGCACAGTAAAAACTGGTCAGTCACTGGTCAATTTGTTGCTCTCTCAGTCCCAGCCAGTCAGAGTGCTAGCAGAGCTCCTAGGCAGACTTAAATATTCTTAGCTATGGAGACAGCAGTGATGCTTGACTGAAGGAATTGTGAGATCCAGAAAACCAAATCTAGTAGGAAGTGTTGCAAATTGTTGAATAAGAGCTAAAGTAATTAGTATTCATTATAGGAATCATATTCAAATAGCAGCAATATGTTCTTTTATCAGTATTTATAGAATCATAGAATGGTTTGGCTTGGAGGAGATCTTAAATATGATCTAGTTCCAACCCTTCCTGGGCAGGGAACCTTCCATATTTTTGACTGTGTGAATCTGATAAAAGTGTTTGTTGCACTATCAGTGTGTACTTTTGACTTCTAACACATATTTTGTCTTTTTGGTAGCCATTTCTATTGTATCTTTGTACTTCAGGTCCTCTCCTTTACCATTTTGAAAACTTGGGAAATGAACTTTCCATAGAATTAAGCTATGAGGATATAAAGAATGTTATCCTGCAATATGGATTCCATATAGAGGTAAGAATGTAGTGCGGTTTGCAATAAGCAGTATTGTTATGAATCAGACAAACTGCTTGGATTAAACCACCATGAATTTCATTCAATATAATGACATATATTAATGACTTCTAGGAGTATTATGTTTCTTACAAATTACTTGCTTTTCTCATTTTATAAGAAGTGCATAGATAAGCCTTATAATCAAATAACAATATAGCATTCTCTTGTATAGTTCCTGTGCAGCTGTCTTGAAAACTGCTGCTTTCTTTTCAGGTGGAGAAAGAATCTGTACTGTCAACTTACACTGTGAATGAACTCTCCATGATGAAATACTACTATGAATGTGTGTTGTTTGTGGTGAGAAAACCAGAAGAATAGTGCTTTGAATAGGTCAATGAGAAAATAATGTTGGTTTGAAAGCTAGAAATGAGAATAAAATCGTCTGGTGATGTATGGACACAACCTCAAATCAGTGGTGCCTTCTTGTTCCTAAGAGGATATAGATAGTGTCTATTTTCTTAATATCTCTGTTGCTATTCAGACATTTATGCGCCATGGATATTCATAATACACTTGTGAAAGATTAAATGTTCACATGCACTGTCTTTGTGCTTTGGAATGCATTAAATAAAAAAGCAAAAGTGTTTTCTTGAGAATAAAATGTAATGTTTGCCATAACTAGGCTAAATACTCTGCAAATGCTGCCTCATTTTTCATAGATTTATAGTGCTTTTTTTCCTACTTGATGATATTAGGAATGCATGGAGGTGCTTACTGTACTAGCTGTATCACTTTTAGAGAAGTGTTTGTAAATGTATACTTAAATTATGAAGTCTGAAATGATTGGGAAGTGGTAAAATTATTCTTGAACAAGTAAATTAGTCATCAGAACTGTTAGAGCATTTCCTGTGCAACTGAAGTAAAGTAGGATATCTACAAATTCTGATCTTTGGCTGTATCACTGTTAAAGGTTTAATCAAAAACCATAACTGATAGGAAATTAGAAATGCTATGTGAAAGCAGAATACTGAGTGAAGAAAAAGCAGACTATCACAGAGAAGCAGTATGTTAACCTCAGTTCAGGAAAACACTGGTCTTGATTGATCTTAATGTTGGAACTGAAATGTGTTAGATGCTTTGCTTTCTTGAAATAACACTGATTTTTGAGTCATCTTCTACTATTTAAGATGGAACTTTTAAAGTTGATAAACATAGCTGAGTTATCCATGCCACATGTATGTAGTACAACATAAAAATACTTGTCGGAGCAGTGAAGTTACATGTAAATGTGTGCTATAACATAATTACTTCCACCTGAGCCAGGATATGGCAGGCCAAATGGTAGACAATTTCTTTGTAACTTCACTTTACCCCTGAGACTTCTTGGTTCCTCCTACTAATGTGTTTTATTTCCTAACAGATGTGGCTTAGGTGAATATTTAATCTACAAGTCTTGATACTATACAAGAGGATGTCATGTCACATACAATCTCATGTCACTTTGAAGTTATGTAGGAAATGAGAAAAACCCTAATTGGAAGTCAGTAGTCTGAGATGAGGTGTCATGTTAGGCATTCTGTTTGCATAATATATTGATTACCTTAAGTGCCATTTGGATGCTTTTTCAAAAATATGTTTAAAATATAAAACCATTATGATGAGGGCTGAATTTTTTTTCTGCTTTTGCTAAAAGGACACTGGTCAGTATGTTGTTTGTTTCTGATTATTTTTTGTCCTGTGTTTCATGGTGATGTCCTAATCATATCTCTTTAATAGATCTGTTACTGGCTTTTCAATTTTTCTAATCAAGGCCAGAAATTTGTGCCTTTATTCCTAAATTGAAAGTCTGCAAGGAGGGAAAACAAACCTTTTTTTAAAAAAATATTTTCAGTGCTGCATAGGAGAGCACATGCTTGTGTATGTTTCAGTAGTATTATGCTCCTGTCTGCTCAGAATCCTAATTGAGAACAGAGGCTTCTGCTCTACAGAAGCTTTTAAGTTTTGGCTTAAACTACTCTTCTTTTTAAACTCTCTTATTTCTAAAAGTGCATGAACTGTCGAAGTTCTACTCTGTTCCAAGGGAGATGTGTTAAAAGATTAAACACTGCTATTCAACAAAGAGTTAGAAAATAAAAGTCCTTGTGTGGCTAAAAGTAAAAAAACACATGCTTTAATTTCTACCTTGTACCATTTAATTTTTGAGAAAATTTGTGATTCTTTGCTTTCATTATGCTTTCTTCTCTTAGGTAGAATATGATTATTAATTTACTTGATTTTCAAGTTTCTTGAAATAAGACAGGTTAGCTGAATGTCAGTTAAGCTGATGCTGAGTACCATACCTATCTGTAATACTACCCAGTTTTTGCCCCATACACTCTGTAACTTGAAATGTGCTATTCTGTCTCTCAAAAAAAAAGCAGTGGAACTCTTATTTATGGTTGAGTGTCAATATCCTGTGTTCTGGTGTTTTTTTCCCATACCATTCCATGGTGTCACAGGTGCCATTTTTGTATATTCTCCGAAAATATTTTTGCATATGGTATAATATAGTGATATGCTTTTATTTCTGATCTAGAGAATGCAGGGGATTTTTCAAGAGCATTCTGCGTTTAAATTGGAACAGTCACATTAAGAGTTGGAAGCAAAATAATCTTGTGAATGAGTTGTTAGTAGTGTTTTCTCTTCAGTCCCATTTAAGAGTTTTTGGAATTCCCCACTTGTACTGTAATGCACAGGGATAATGGTGTATTTAGTTTTATATGCAGGGGGAAATGCTCAAGGTGTTCATCAGCTAAGACTGTTTATTTTAGGTCACTATTTAATTGTACATGGTAACAAGTGTAAAAATGCTGCATAATCCTCAATGTAAAACTTCTCTCTCTGGAGTTTGATAAATGTAAAACGTCCTGTATATTTTTCAATGTGTTATATTCTAAAGTTGTTGCAGAGATGGTAAGAATAAGAAGTTTGGTGTCTCTGTGTGCACTTCCCATTGTTCAAAGTACGTGTAATGGACTGGGTTTTTTGGGTATTAAAGCTTGCTGTAAGGCTTGATGTCTCGCTGTTTGGTTCCATCCTTCACAGCCGGGTGAGGGCGCTCCCCCCTCCTCCCCGGCGCGGTGAGGGTTGGGTTGTGAGGGCGCTTCCAGCCTGCTCCTCCCTTCCCGGCGGGGTGAGTGTTGGGCTGTGA